AAATCATCAAGTTAAGTTCTCTATTTCATATTTTTGCATATATATATATATATATTTCTTGAAGTTTTGAATTCCATGTTTATTACTTCAATTGCTTCTAGTTTTACATTTCAATTATGAGTAGTTATACATATCTAGGGATTTGAATTGAACTTTATTATATGGATGCGAATGTAATCGAATTGAATTGCATAAATTAGGTTTTGAATTGCCGTCATGTTAAACTTGGTTATGAATTGGATGAAATTGAATGGACGTACTCTTTCATAGTTATGGCCAAATTATGCAAGAGATATTTGAAACTAGTGATTCACCTATGAGAATAGGATTACACCATAGACATATCTTTCATATTTCTTACTTTCCTTTGAGAAAATGGAGTTTGAAGGAAATGAGCACACAAAATGTTTGTTGAATTGCCTCATCTAGCCAAGTTGCCATGCCGGACTTAGGATTAGTTGACAGTCCAATTGATCACGAGAGTAATGTTGGCGCTTACACCATTTCTCCAAGTTTGACATTTGGAATTGCATAACTAACTTAAACTTTAGACCACACAATGCAACGTATTCTATATATGCAAGGTTGTTTGATTCAAATCTTTCTTTCATCTATTATCTTTTAATTCACTTGTTTTCATTATAGGTTGTTTGAACATGCAATATTCAAATATCTATTGGTTAGCTTATGAACTCGTGCTTAACCCCTCATTATTTAAATTTCCTTAAAGCCATTCCTTGAGGACGATACTCACTAAATATCACCACTAAAACCAACTTTGAAATTTATAAAACAAAACTTACAAATATAATAGCAGAACATGAAATCTTAATTATTGGGAGCAATAAACCAAAGCACTTTAAACATGATAAAAGATATTCATAATAAAATATGAAACATAATTAATTGGATAAAATAATTAGAATAGAAAACACATTATAAATCACATATCTTCTATATTGAAATCATATTTATAAATACTTTTTCTTTTCGTTAGATCAATTTCAAGTTTTTCTAGATTAGTTTGAATACGATGACACACAACAGAACTTCTAAACTACATTGAGTAGATAATTCATCAAAAAAAAAAAAGAAGAAAAAAAACTATCTTTTAAAATATTTTTATCGTATCAGGGTGGCTATTCCGGTGGACAAGCCCCTTAAACGTCGCAGGAAACTCCTAAAGCGCGACAAAACGACCTGTTGGGTGAACTTCAAGTACGAACGGCTTCATACCTTTTGCTTCTACTATGGTGTTCTCGGCCATCTATTTAAATATTGTCTAAAGGCTCGCAACTCGATGACACCGGTGGATCAATATGCTTATGATGACGGCATGCGGGCTGGGTTAAGGAAGGGGCCGAGAAAGGTCGGAGCGCCATGGTTACTCGGAAGGGATGGGAAGCCAGTTCATGTTGTTGAAGCAGGGAAGCGAATCAAGCCAGTAGCCTTGGTCGAGGGTACGGGTAGTCAGGGGGAGGAACCGGTCGTAGTTGCACCGGCGAAACGCCGGCGGGAGTTGGTGGGTGGTTCGGCCGTGCACGGTCGGATGGATGGTGGGGATGTAACTATGCATGAGGTGCAAAAAAACTTGCTACCGGCGGGCTCTGGTTCCCAGACCCGCCCATCATTATGAGTTCTCTGAGTTGGAACTGTCGTGGCTTGGGCAATCCACGCATAGTTCGTGAAATTGTGGACATGGTGTCTAGAAAGAAGCCCGATTTTGTGTATTTAATGGAAACCAAGGTTGGGCGGATACATGCAGAACGGCTCCGTATCAAGCTTGATTTTGATGGTTTATTTTATGTAGACAACGTGCGACTGAGTGGGGGTTTGGCATTGTTTTGGAAAAAAAATAATACTGGTAGACTATTGAGCTTCTCTAAGAACCACATAGATGTTGAGGTCTGTATTAAAGACGATATAGTTTGGCGTATGACGTGCTTTTATGGTTTCCCAGAGCGAAATAGAGGAGGGATTCATGGGTGTTACTCGGTGCGTTGAGTAGTAGATCAGCACTGCCTTGGGTTGTCATAAGCAGTGTTGTAAAACTCGGCCTCCTAGCCGCCTAGGCGCTAGGCGGCCACTTGCCTTGGAGTTTTGGCCTATAGGCGGCCAAAACTCGGTCGGCCGCTAGGCGGCCTGGGCGGTCAAACTCGGCCGAGTCGGTCAACTCGGCCAACTCGGCCGAGTCGACCGATTTCGTCCGATTTTGACCGTTTTGACCGATTTTGATCGATTTTGTCTGATTTTGACCGATGTCGTCTTTCATTAATTATTGATTTTAATATTATTATGACATTATGACTTATAAATTATCATTATTTCATTTATTTAGATGTGTTATTTGAGTGAACCGTTGAAAACAACCTCATTAAAATTGTCGAACTACAAGTCTGTCACTATTTTTTTTAATTTTTTTGGTGCCCGCCTAGCGCCGCCTAGAATCCGCCTAGACCGCCTAGGCGCTAGGCGCTGCCCGGCCGCCCGACTAGCGCCTAGCGCCTACTGCAACCTTGGTCATAAGAGATTTTAATAATCTCTTGTTTCAACATGATAAAACGGGAGGAAATCCACATCCTGATAGTCTACTTCGTGGCTTTGGAGAGGTGGTAGATGAGAGTGGATTGATGTAGTTACCCATGTGAGGGCATCAGTTTACCTGGGAGAAGAGCGGTGGTACTGATAGCTGGATAGAGGAGAGGTTAGATAAGGTGCTAGCAACATCAACCTGGTGTGGTGTGAATGTGGGGGCTGGTGTGGAAAATATTATGACACGGACTTCGGACCACTCGGCTCTCTTCCTCGATATTAATGCTATGTGCATGCAAAGGGGTAGGGGCCGGAGGGGTTTTAGGTTCAAGATGGCTTGGCTTCTTGATGAGGGATGTAGAAAGTGGTTGAGAATGCATGGGATGCTGGTAGATCGGATGGGTTGTTGGATTGTCAACAACATTGTGGTGAAAAACTGATGTGGTGGGGTGGTGAGCACTTTCAGAAATTTGGGGACCGATAAAACGTCTGCGTAGAGAGCAAGAGGTTATCCGTAACAAAAGGGATCCGGCTGCTTTGGCTGAATTCTAGCATTTGAATGATCAACTCTGCCAGCTAGAAGCCCAAGAAGATATATTCTGGAGGCAACGAACAAAGCAACACTGGCTTCGTGGAGCAGATTCCAATACAAAATTTTATCACAAGTATGCTTCTGCTCGTAAGAAAAAGAACTCTATTACTAGATTGAAGAATGATAACGGGGTATGGGTGGAAGGGAAGAATATGAATTCAATTATCCTAGAGTACTTTAAATCAATTTTTGGCTCTAGTAATTTTGTGTGCAATGATCCCCTATTTGATGACTTTGCTCCTCGTGTGACTCCTGCTCAAAATGATACCCTGTTGCGCCCCTTTGAGCCTGATGAGGTAAAATTGGCTTTATTTTCTATGTCCCCTGATAAAGCTCGAGGTCCTGATGGAATGAATCCGGGCTTTTATCAGCATTTCTGGGATATAGTTGGGGGAGATGTTTCTGCTTTTACTGTTAATTGCTTAAATGTGTGTGCTTTCCCGGAAGGATTTAATGATACGAATGTTGTTTTAATTCCTAAGAAGAGGGTGCCTGAAAAAGTTTCAGATATGAGGCCTATTGCTTTGGGGAATGTGTTATATAGAATAATGGCAAAAATGATAGCAAACAGGATGAAACCACTAATGGGGGAGATAATTTCAGAGTCCCAGAGTGCGTTTATTCCAGGAAGGTTAATCACCGATAATATCCTTATAGCTGCTGAATTTGGCCATTACTTGAATCGAAAGCAGTGCGGTTTAGCTGGCTGGGGAGTTTTAAAGCTGGATATGGCAAAGGCTTATGATATGATGGAGTGGCAGTTCCTAGAAAGGATGCTTGGGGTAATGGGCTTTGATGAAAGGTGGATTAAGTTAATCATGCTTTGTGTGACTACGGTTACCTACAATATCATGGTAAATGGCGTGGACACTGGTCAGGTAATCACTACTCGTGGACTCAGGCAAGGGGACCCTCTCTCATCTTACTTATTTATTATTTGTGCAGAAGGTTTGTCTATGTTACTGCAAAAAGCTCAAATGACAGGATCAATTCATGGATGCAGAGTAGCTAGGGGAGCCCCTCCTATTTCTCACCTATTCTTTGCAGATGATAACCTTTTGTTATTTAAAGCAAATACCCAAGAAGCCAATGTGATTAAGCAATGTTTGGTAAGGTATGAAAATTTATCTGGACAAATGGTGAATTTTCATAAATCTAGTATTTGTTTTAGTAGAAATACCCCGGAGATTACTAGGGAGGAGGTGGCGCAAACCCTGGAAGTTGTGCAGGCCCCGAATTTTGGGAAGTATCTTGGTCTGCCTTCGTTTGTGAGAAGGAATAAAAGGGATGTTTTTGCTTATGTAGAGGATAAAATCAAACAGAGAATTGGGTCATGGAATAAGAAACTACTGTCTTAGGCTGGGAAGGAGGTGTTTTTAAAAAGTGTGGCCCAATCTATGCCTAATAGGCTCCCGGGGACCGCTTAGGCGCGATTTTTGCAACAGTGATTTTTATTACCTGAGGTGGTTTGTTTATCTATTGAGAGAACTATGAACAGATGTTGGTGGGGGAGTGGAACTGACAGAGGTATTCATTGGAAAGCATGGGACAAGCTATGTATCCCTAAAAAGTTTGGTGGTTTGGGTTTCAAGGATCTTCGTGCTTTCAACTTGGTAATGCTGTGAAACAGGCCTGGCGATTTCTTACTGATCCCAATTCCCTAGCTGCGAAGGTATACAAGGCTCAGTATTATCCTAAAACCTCTTTTGTTGATGCCACTATAGGAAATTGTCCAAGCTATTGTTGGCGAAGTATCATGGTTGCACATGATATGGTATGTTCTGGGTCCCGCAGGAAAATTGGAAATGGACGAACAACATTGATATAGGGACACCCGTGGTTATCTGATGACCCCAGTCCCTTAGTTCAAAAAGTTATGCCTGAGGAATTGAGAGAGGCCCTTGTGGAAGGTTTGATTGATCAACATACAAATCATTGGGATCCCCATATTTTAACAGACTTATTTGACCCGGATGATGTGGCTCGTATTTCTAGAATCCTGGTTAGTCCAGCATATGAGGACCCATGGTATTGGCTCAGTGACCCCAAAGGGATATATACGGTTAAGAACGCTTATAGGAGTATTGTTGGTAACTATGATCATGACCCAGGTGCTTTTGATAAATGGGTAACATTATGGAAGTTGAAGGTTCCACCAAAATCGAAAACCTTCCTATGTAGAGCTTTGTGTGATGTTCTCCCCACCACTACTAACTTGCTTATAAAGAGGGTTGATGTGAACCCAACATGCTCAATGTGTGATTTACAACATGAAGATGTTATGCATTCTCTTGTTCTTTGTGAATACTCTAGACTTGTCTGGAATGTTTCGGAATTGCCTATCACAAATATTTTATCTAGCTCATTTCCAGTATGGCTTATGGGTGCACTAAATATTTTAACAGAGGAACAATGCAGTCAATTTGTGGCCATGCTTTACCATTTATGGAGTGCTCGAAACACTGCAGTATGGGAGGGTACGCTATTCCGCCCCGGACAGGTTTGGCGTCGAGCTGCTGCCGCATTCCGCACGTATGCACATCTTCACCGACGTCACCCACACACGTCGGCACCAGTAGAAGCATCTACAGGAACACAACAACGCCGGTTGAAGTGTTATATAGATGCAGGCTATTGGGCATCGACCGGGGAAGCCACCTACGGCGTTGTTTTGGTCTCGCAAACTGGAACATTCCAGGCCGCCACAAATGGATAGCTGCCTGGTTGTTTTTCGCCACTTATGGCTGAAGCACTTGCTTGTAAGGAAGCATTATCTTGGCTCAGGGAACGGAACGTAATGGATGTGGATCTTCTAACGGATTGCTCAGAACTTTGGAGTTCTCTACTAGCACCTCCCACGAGTATACGGTCCTATGTTGGTGTCATTGTGGACCAATGTAGGACGTCAATGTCTTTATTTAATCTTTGTTCGCTGAATGTTATTTCTAGATCAGTTAATTTACATGCTCATACATTAGCTTCAATAGCCTTCGATCAGGATCACTCTATGTTTTGGGACTCCGTCCCCCCTGACTCTATTGTTCCTTTCATTCATTAATATATGGCTATGCCTTGCTTTCAAAAAAAAAAAATCACAAAATATATTACATATACATAACTCATTATAGAGTTTACAAAATAGCACATGTTCTAAATATAAGTAGTAAATTACTCGAATAGAAATATATTCAAAATTTGATATGAATCACAAATCAATCTATATTATAAATCTCACTATAATTATAGAAATGTTAAAAAAAATCACAAAGTTACAAATTAAATAAAAAATACAAATTAAAAATAAAAATAAATTCAATAAGTTACAATTTTAGTATTGCAAAATAATTTATCTTATAAATAGTTGGAAAAATTCGTATAATGACTGAAATACACATATGAGGGTTCAACCCCTCAACCTTTAACATACAAACAAAAAGTCCTACCAATTAAGCTAATATTTAGTAATGTGAATGTATATTCTATACTTATACAAAAACTCTATAGTATATATAAAACATAGTAGGATGGATTGGTTGGTTCCTTCGCAGCATGGGTCATGGCCACTCACCGCTTGTCCGCTTCTATATATCTCAATTGATTTACATGCTTTCAAATATTTGTATATTAATGTTTATAATAAAGTTAAATTTATACCTTCTTTTTTTGTCTTTAATAAGATCCGAACATTGCACCCAACGATCACTAACAAATACTACGATATAGATTGAATGATGACAAAAACCTAAAGAGTACAAACTTTTATCCACACGTTGGATCAAAGAAGAACATAATTTCCACAAATTATATAACCCCACACGACCAAAAATGGGGGAGAAGGAGAAGAAAATGAGCCCATGCTGTCGTGGATGGCAATAATGTTTGGATTTTGGGTTTGAATATTACTAGTTGATAATTACCCTTTTTTTAAAAAAAAAAAAATGTCATTTGACTAGATGCATACACTTTATGAGATTGCCAAAATATGTTACAAGAAATTATCAAAATAAGACAAAAATATGTTGTAATACATTATAAAAATAAGACAATATTTGTAATAATTTATCAAAATAAGACAAAATGGGCAAGCTAATTACAAAAAGAGGATAAGCTATCCGCTTAGGAGATTTAATTTTCCATACTCTTAAGTCTTATCTACAAGCAACATATTACTCTTAGATGGCATTTACTTATGTAATGTAAGATTATTTAAGGCAAATATGATTACCTTATAGGTAATTTGAGATAACATAAATGTAAAATTAGTTTATGTATTTACTTAAAATCGTGAAAATGTAACATTAATACGTATATTTAAATGCCCTCGATACAAATACGTAAATAAATAAATAAAAATTACATATATACATTAATGAATATTATTTTATATATGTATAAATATATTATTGTTGTTATTATTATTATTTTATTTATTAGTATATATAAGAGTTAGTTGATAAGGGTAAAATTTAAATATTGAAGAGTAATGTAAGAATACCTAAGAAATTGAAATATTGAACTAAACGCACCCTAGTCCCCGATAATCTTAAGAAGACAAGCTATCCTTTTTTGCCCTTGATTTTAAAATTATTTTAGCAAATTTGGTTGTCGCAGATTGAGAATTTAATTTTATCGATAACACCATTTGAAATTGAGTTTATTGTAAATATCAATGTAGCAAACTCTTGGTGCTAACTCATTGAGTCACATCCCATGATTACTCCTCCAACAAGCAAGTGTGAGGCTTTCAAGATTGCAATTCAATTTTTTTCAAGAAAAAAAAAGTGTCTGAAAAATGGACAAACAACCGTTGGACTGTGGCCCATTTCATGGAAGATTGTAAAATTTCCGGCAAATTATTGTATGGACCATGGTCCACACAATGTTATGTGGACCATAATAAAATGTACATTTTTAATATACTAAATGTACATTATTTTTGTACTGAATGTACATTATAAAATATAATGTACACTCAGAACAAAAATAATGTACATCCCCTGAATATAATGTACATTATTTTTGTACTGAATGTACATTATTTTTGTACTAAATGTACATTATTTTACAATAGACAAAATATGGTCTACACAACTTGTGTGGACCATGGTCCATACAATAATGATTGAAAATTTCCAAAATGGATAGGAAACTTAAAAAAAAAAAAAAAAAAAAAAAAAAAAAAACAACTTGGGCTATAACTAAGTTAAGACCATGTAATTTTTTGGGCCTGTAGAAACATGTATCTTACATTTTTCCTTTTTTTTTTTTTTTTTTTTTTTTTTGGGTTAGGATAACAGATCGAACCAATAAATTTGTAATCTCTTCTCTAATAATTTTTTTTTTTTGGAATGATAAATTTACAATCAAAGATATGCATAAGATAAATCTCATTTATGTGTAATAATATATTTTATATACTTTTTGCTTGTTAGATCATCAGGTGTTCTGAATAGACCTTAACTGTAGTCGATGGAAAAACACCTTTAAATCCATACAATATTCAGCTAATCCCATTAGCACACACCACTATTACATATAACACCGTAAATATAGAAAAGATATTCAAACTATTACTATAACCTCAAGCAAAGAACTAATATTCTCATTCGATATTAGTTATCCATTTTACACTATTTTTATTTCTAAAAATATAATATTATGCAGTATGTACTACAAAGTTCTTAATTGTAATAAAGCAATGACAAAAATTTGTGTGAGACCGTCTCACTATGTGTCGAATTGGATTGAGTCAAATCAAAATGAAAATGTAATACTTATATACACAAATGTAATACTAATTAGGATAAGTGTTTAAATGAAAAAATATAATACTTTTGCATTTTGATTTAAAAGTATTAGATTTTTAATACTTTTCATTTTGATTTAAAAGTATTAGATTTTTTCTTAGAAATATTATATTTTCCCTTATAAGTAACAAATACTTGTCAACATATATATAATACTTTTGCATTTTGATTTAAAAGTATTATAAAAAATGTAATACTTTTGATGGAAAATATAATACTTTTACATTTTGATGTAAAAGTATTAATGCAGGCCGACCCGCCTCATCGCGGGGTTTATTTTATTTTATTTATTTATTTTTGCGAGCTTTTGCGGGCCGGCCCGCGAAGCCCGCAGGCCTACCATAAAATTAAAAAAAAAAGAAAGAGAAAAAGGTCAAATAGGCCCTCGAACTTTAGCTTAAAAGTCAATTAGGCCCCTAAACTTTTTAAAGGTTCAATTACACCCATCAACAATTCATTTATTGCACTTAAATGAATTGTTGATGGGTGTAATTGCACCTTAAAAAAGTTTAGGGGCCTAATTGACTTTTAAGCTAAAGTTAGAGGGCCTATTCATATTATCATCGGTTGAAGAATTGAGTAAAGCACATTCTATCAAGTATTCAACCTTCCAAAAGGGCAATCAGAAAATAAAAAATTGAGCTTCTAAACTAAAAGATTCACCTTAGAGATGAGTGTATTATGAGATATCAGTGGGTTCGAATTAGGGGTGGGAATAGGACAGGCCCTACATAGGGGCCTACGGCTTGGCCTATTTAAGGTTTGGCCTGGCCTGTTCAGTAAAAAGACAAGGCCTATGCCTATTTAAAAACATATTTAGTTAAATAGACGCATGTCAATATGTAAAGGCCTGGTCTACGAGCCTGCAGGCCTGGCCTGTTTATATATATATAATATATATTTAATATTTAATTATTATATATTACATTTTATAACTAATATCTTTTAATATTTATAATATAACCCACTATATAAATATAAGTATAGTTGTATAACCCTAATCCCTAATTAGTAAGACAGTAAGTCATCCCCAATTTCCCAATCCATTGAGACGTCAGAGTGTGCGAAACGGTGACCTTGCAACCGACTCACGACTGCGACTTTGCTTGGCGACGAGGCAGTGACTCCAGTGAGATTAGTGCAAAAAGTCAGAGTGTCAGACGAGTATGCAAAACTGAGACCTTGCAACGACTCACGACTTGGTGGCTAGGCAGCGAGACGGCGAGGCGGTGACTCCGGTGAGGTTAGTGTGGTCTTCTTACTGTTATACTACTGTATTAGACGTTTATACTGTCAATCTGCGATTACTGATTTACTGCATGTTTGGTTGTCTGCCTGAGTTTGCAAATCTTCGTATTGCGAATCTGTAAATCTTCTTACTGTTATACTAATAATGTTTAGTAAAATATTTAGTAATAAACTAATAATGTTTAGTCAATCACTAGTACAGAATGGACAATACGCGTCCAAAGTTGCTTGGACGCGTATGTAGGAGACGCTGATTGTTCATGTAACTTTGGACGCGCAAAATGACTATACGTGTCGAAAGTTCAGGAACTTTAGACTCATATGGTATTTTTTTAAAAAATAAATAAACACTATACGCGTCCAAAGTTCACGAACTTTGGACGCGTATAGTGTTCATTTATTTTAAAAAAAATACTACGCGTCCAATGTTCCTGAACTTTCGACGCGTATATTAAATTTTTTTAAATTTTTTAATTTTTTTTTATAAAACTACCAATATTTTCCTGTACATTTCAGCATAACTACCAAATAATATATTTCAACATTAATCAATTTAAGATGTACACTTCACACCAATTCTATCAACTAAAACACACCAATCTAAAATTTCAATTCTAATAACAGTTTACTACAAATAAACTACAAATTCTAAATGTTAACA